CATTTCATAATTTTGAAATAGATTTTTTTTTAATTTTAAAGCTATATTGACTGATTGATTATAATGGACGGCATGAGCGACGTAAAAAAATAATATTGATATTACGTGTTGCTATTGTAAAGTGACATAAACATTACCGTAAAACGATAAAGAATTATATTTTTAAACGTTACAGTTGATTATTTGACATTTTGTAACACTTGTGTGGCCGACTGTACCTCTCGGTCAGCGACAAAGTGCTTCCCGCTGCACTCGGTTAAGACTCGATTCAATTCCACTTCTATTTTTTCCTTTTAAATCTATTTTTGCTGGAAAAACTATTGTTATTTTGCCTGGAGTTTAAATTGAAGTAAAATTTAACTTTTGTAATTATATTTTCAAGGCGGTAATTACTTAAACGAATCAACGAAAGATTTGTGTATTTTTGTAACGTCACCCATACAATTTATCAATCACAAATCTGATACAAATTTAGTCAATAACGTTTTAAATACGCTGACGTATTGTCTCGCAAATGTTCGTGATAGCCCTCTGATTTATTTTTAAGCAATCAAAGCAAATAAAACCCTAGGACACGAAATTAGGAATCGATAACGTACTGAATCTAGTATAGCTGCAATAGACACATCGGGAACAGCGCCTCCATTACACAGACGGCCAAATACTGAAACTAATTTTAAATACTTCGCATCGTAAGCACCGCTTTCCATCTGATAGATGTTTTAATTTCAAAGGATTTTTTTATTTTACAGAGCGCGCGCACACCTTTGATTAAACCATCTAACAACTGTTTAGTCTCGCTTTGATTCCTATGAGCTTATATGAAGGAGCACTACTCGATTTTTAGTTGTGCAACTGTTTAGTTGAATTGGCTGCGGAACAATCGACAATCGCACAACTGTTATGCAATAGTTTCGATGTGTGCTTTAAGAATACATATTTAAGGTAAAGAGTCTTTGATTCTTTTCTGTGATCCTTGTAAATAGTTTTACAAAAATAAGTTTATATCAAAAGTTTATTTATAGAATGTAAAAAGTTATCTAAATATTAATGAACTCGTTGGCGTCTAGACGCGTCCAGGGCTCGTTGCTCTCACACTTCTCGGGAATTCACTCGCGGGTCAAATCTCGCTAAATAAGTGTTCATCAAATTAATACAACTCACAATAATGTCGTATTTAACGGCTCTGTGTTTCAATGATTATATTTCAAATACTAATTATGAAGATTTAGAAAAGCGTATAGAATATGAATTTAGAAAATATATTTTTAACGTGCATATAGAAATATTAAATCTATACTAAGAGATTCCCTCAGTACTAAATTAACGACTTAATTTAGGCGTGATAGTTAGTTATTGAGAATTAAATTTAATGACATACAGTGTGATGTTCTATAGCTAGATTCTGCGCTATAGCGTAGGTAAACCCGTTTGCGTATATTAGTTAAGCCAAAGTATCGTAAAATATCAACAAATGCCCACAAAATTTACATTTGAATGGCTGAGTAAAGCCTGGCTTGTGGTAAATCAACCTCCCGCGAGACTGGAATGATTTATTCTGGTGTATACGCATACATTACTGGTTGAATGTTGGGGACAGTTGCTCGTCGCGTACAAAAGCAGAGATGAATAGCAAATTTACGTCTACATGATAAATGTTGAGTTCGATTCCCAGGAGTCTCAAATTCTATGAGTTGTTTTGTAAATAAACATAAAAATTTTATTTCTGGATTCTTATCTGACCAAAATAATTTTCGTTCCTTGCGTTCATTTTAAAAAATGTAATTCGATTCGTTATAAAAAACCCTGTATAAAATGTAATAATCCAATGAATGGACTCATGATTTGTTAAATTGCGTTCCAATTTCAGCGCGCAACGAATACAAAAGCTTGGAAAATTATATTAAATATTGTATGAAGGATTTCGTTCAGTCTGTTGGGGCAATTAAATTTAAAATAGCTACACCGGGCCCAGTCATTTCACCTTTTTGTACGTGGACGACATCACAATCGGCTGATAAATGCGACCACTCATATAACTGTGAATGTTCAGGTGACACGTGATTCGATTTATAATGAAGCCTGGTAAAAAAGGTGTCCAGATAGTTTGAATTTGAACTGATTTTCGATCCGTTCGCTTAATACCATACATGAGTACGGTTGTAATGAAAATTGTAACTAAATAAGGCAGTTAAATCTAACATTAGTTTAAGGGCCTGTCCCACCAAATTGTAAATTGCCTGATAATAATTCAACGCGTAAAATATGTGATGGAAATATTTGATTTGGTTCCTTAGCCAATGGTCGGACGGGCCTTAAGAATGATACAATACGCATGTAAGTGCCTGTAACACTGACCTTGGCGTGACCAAACTATCGCATAACAGTTGCCTTGCTTTGATTCCTATGAAATTATATGGAGAGTACACTACTCGATTTTTAGTTGTGCAACTAAACAGTTGAATTGTCTGCGAAACAATCGACAATCGCACAACAGATGTGCGATATGTTAGTAACAGCTGTGCGCCTGCTCTAAGTATTTTCGAGTCTCTAAGCGTTCTGGAAGTTAGCGCAACATTTTCCAAGAAATGGGAGAAAAACAAAAGAATGAGAACATTATCATAAAATTACAGTAAAAGAAAGTTGTTGCTATAAAACAAGTGCGAAGTGCGTAATTTTCGGGATATTTACGAACGTTTTATTTTATATCTAAAACTATAGAATACATATTTATGCCACGTACAGATACTATTATCCGGATACGAGCATATTTTCTTCAACATATTTCGAAGTTTACATCACTCGATCAACAGATGGCGCTGATCCCTTTTCAATGGAAAACTTTTTATTCTTTTTAATAAACACTAGCTATTTTATATGAATTTGATAAATGTTTTGAGTTCTGCTATAAACAAACTTAAGTACCCTTTACTAATAAAACAACCTCGCACGATACAAATTGTCAAAGTTACTAACAGTAGCTATTAATTGCGTCCAATTTGTTGCTATCTCGTGCGTACAGTCGGCGGGAAACAAGTTTTTCCCTCGACTGTACTTGAATGCCCATTAATTGTGGAAATTAATATCTCTGTAATATACTAAAGTGCGCGTTGCGAGTAAATAAATGAGTTTCATTATGTATTTTGACGGAAAAAAACACATGTAACTGACGCTAATTATCAAGATTAGTTTGTATAAATTGTAAGTTTAGAGAAAGAAAATGGTAAATTAGCAACATGTTTGATATTCCATGATGTTTAGCGTGAGTTTCCACTGTTGTAAAATCCATCGATATCTCAGATTTTTGTCTGAAAATGTAACTTGCATGTAGATATGTTAACAGCAGTGTAAACTCACGCTAATATCATGTATGTCGTTAAATATCCGGAAATTGGCGAAGGGCGAACTGAAGAGCATGTAACATTTCGACATTAGCTTGTCATGAAAGGAAATTATTTGGGAGCCCAAAAATATTACATTTCCCTTCCATTAGGATCAAATTATACAGGATGATTCTTTTATACGTGTAGAAATAATGTGATATTTTCTGTCTAAAATGAATGCAGTAGAATTAATGTAATAACAAAAAATAGGACTTTGTATCCGCCTCAGGCATACAGAGACATTGTTTCGTACAAAATACTGCGGTAATTGGAACAAAAATATTATTCTTGTACAGCATGTAACTTTACTTAAGGGTTGATATATGCAATGTATAAAAAGATACATGATTTTCATACGGTACAAAACCGACGTAACATCCGTAAAGATGTTGTATTCATTGTTATGAATACCCACTTATTCTTTAGAGGTACGGTTATAAAGTATAATATTTATAGCTGATAGTCGCCGTATTAGAAATAACTAGCTGTTGCTCGCGATTTCGCCCGCGTGAAATTAAAAAAATAGTGAAAACATAGTATATGTTACTGTGATAACACAGCTTTTAACGGTGCAAGAATTTTTAAAATCGGTCCAGTAGTTTTTGAGTTATTTCAATATATACAAAAATCCAAATCTCTCCTCTTTAAAGATTAACAATCAAGGAATCTAAAATTTCCCTCGTATTGTGCATGTCTATGGGCGTTGATGATCACCTCAGTATACCCGCTTCTTTACCTTCGTCTCTTTAAAAATATCTTTCAGAATGCACCTAATAGTCTCAAAAACTCCACAATCAAAACCACAGGAAGCCGCTGGATGTGTTATGGTGAAAACTTATTGACGTAATCTGGGTAGATGCTGAATTAAATCTGGTTTTATATGAAAAGGCGTTTATTTAAATGAAAACATTGAAACACATTGGTGGTTAATTTGCTAAGTGAGGCGCAGAGAGATTGCTGTTACGATCAGTATCTGTCAGAGTATGATGGATCATTGCACTCAAATACACTCTCATTTATTCCATCAAGCATTTTTGTATTTAAATTTCAGACAGGTTTTTAAATACACTTTTTAATGGATTGGTTATTTATTACTTACATGCTGATAAGAACAATATGAAGCCTTGATTTGATACTTAAAACTTGGGTATAAGTATCTTTGGTAATTTTGAACTCAGCTTGTTATACTTACTGTCATCAGAAATTTTCGATTGATAAAATAAAATGTTCCGTACAGTGTAAGCGCCGACTCAGCCTTCGGTGGCTATAAACGTCCTAACGCAGCGTCGTAAAGGTTTTATCTATATCGCTTCGTTTACAACCGACGTCCGCAGCGACGCCAGCGCCCTCGTAAAACTATCGCAACTATATTATCTGCCGACCCTATTCTATTATCTAAAGATTTGGGACCGGCAGCCGAGTGTTGGGGAAATTGTTTAAGAATAAGCCCTCATAAACGCTGGTAGAGCGCTACTAAATGAGTTTGTGCGATGTCTTCGGTTAATTATGATTCTTTAGATTGTGTTGATAAAAATATATGACTTCTTATAAATCATGGCAAACCACGCAGATTTTACACATTTATTTAATTCTCGACGAAATGAAAAAATCAGTAAGTCTGTATAATTAAAATCTAGATTTATTTAACTTAAATAAATAATTAATTATAAAAGCGAAATACCACTAAACTAACCACAGTCTGTTTACAATTTCTAAGTAATCCTAAAACTGGTGCACTAAACTCAAATTCAACGGCCAAAAGAATTTTATTAATTCTTGTTAAAATACTGATTCTATTCCTATACTATTTACATACAAACTACGTAATTTCAACCCTCAGATATACTTTCTAATTCTATAACATGTCTATGCTTCTTTCCTTTATGGATACCATCGAACTCATTCTGAATATCTTCCAAACTCTTACCTTTCGTTTCCGGTACAAAGAAATATACGAAAATAGCACCAACTATACTACTAACTGCAAAATGCCACAGCGCCCATCCAGGATGGACCATATTCACCAGATTCTGGTAAAGTTTGGTAACCCCAAATGCGAGGAACCAGTGGAAGCCGACTGTAATCGCGGTAGCTCTTCTAGTCACATGCGGGGGGAATATCTCTCGCAGCATCAGCCAGGGTATGGGACCAACTCCTGCCGCGTACACACTCACGAAAGTGCACAGGGTGAAGAGCGGTATCCACGTACTATTTATAGAGACGTCAGATGCTTTGAAATGGTAATACAAACCCAGACTACCTAAACTAATCGACATCATTAAAAACGAAAAAAGAAGTAAAACACGTCTTCTAACTTTCTTTAGCAACATCGTCGAGAAGTAAGTAGAAGATACGAGACAGAATCCGAGGATAATTGAAGCACCTGGAGGAGTTAAAGAAATAGAAAATGTTTTGAATAATTTCTCCGCGTAAAATAAAACTGGGTAAATTCCACTTAATTGCTGGAAAATCATTAAACCAAACGACACTACTAAAGCCTTAACATTTGTTCTTGTAGTGAATAATTCTTTAAATGTTACTCTATTCTTTGCGTAGTTCAATGTATGTTCTTTCAGTGCTTTTATTTCTGCTTTCACGTCATTATCGATTCCTCTAAAGTATTGTAAAGCAGCTTTGGCTTCGCTGTTTTTCCCTTGTGATAGCAAATAAGCTGGTGATTCGGGAATAAATATGAAAGCCACGAAGAAAGCGACTGGAACACTGGCGGATAAGAAACACAGCCATGATGTACTGTTGGCCAAGCCTGGAAAAAAATTAGGAGAATATCTATAAATGTAGATAAAAATAAAAGGTAGGGCAATATATTTACTTATATGGTAAGTTAGAGCTACTTAAAGTTAAGAAGAAAATCACTTTACCTAGCTAAGCTATTTCTAAGCAAATAACTTTTCTTAGAACCTTTCATAAAGCTTTTACCTATGACTTAAGCATAGAAGGAAGTCTTATAATGTGATTTCATACAAAGTCTACAATTGCATTGCATGTAAATGTCTAGAAATAGCAACATTATACTGTACAATCAAATAGCTAAATTGACTGCAATTGTACCAATCGACTAACTTGATGTTATAATCATACTTCTTATTAATATAATAAATGCGAAAGTTTAGATGGATGGATGTTTGTTAGAGGTTGTAGCCCAAACAGCTGCATCCTACTAATATTTGGCATATTCGTAGAACATAGTCTGGAAGAACACATAGGCTACTTTTGTTTTTTTTTAATTCCACGCGGACATAATCGCGGGCGAAAGGTAGTATCATTATCAATGCCAAAATTTATATGGATGGATGTTTGTTAGAGTTTGTAGCCTAAACTGCAGAACGGATTTCAATAAAATTTGTCATAGATGTAGAGGATAGTCTGGAAGAACACATAGGGTTCTCACTTTTGGCGAAAGCAAGTGAGAAATAAGGCTAAAAACATATAGAATCAGGTCTTGAGGTAGAAAAAGCTGTAATTTTCATAGTATTACTTACCACAGATGTAACCGAAAAGCACACCGCAGGAGAGATGGACGTGGTAGAAGTTAGCGAGTGCGGGCAGCAGCTGGGGCTCCGCGATGTCCTCGATGTAGGGCGGGATGCCCACGCTGAAGGCGCCCACCGCCACGCCGCCCACGAACCGCCCCACGTACAGACCGTACACGTTGGGACTGACGGACATGGAAGATATACACTCAAGAGCATTGAATCCAGCTCACTGAAATATTCCCAACCGTTATCCCGCTCTGTACCCATGTGAGAATAAAAAGTTTCATCCGTCCCACCTTTAAGTCCCACCATCCCACTGACACGTTCCAACTGTCCCCACGTCGCAGAAGGTGGGGCGGATGAAAATTTTTATTCTCTTCTCTAATTGGAGACAGAGCAGGGTGACGGTTGGGTATAATCCGTCTCATTTATAACAGAAAACTATAAAGGCCTGTCCCACCGCTGGCTGATAAAGGCTCAGAAATGACGTCATTGTCAGAGAAAAAAGAAAATCCGATATTTCCATAACATATTCTATACGATGAATTGTTATCTACCAATTTACAAAAATTGTGGGACAGGCCCGAAATCTTGCAGACCAAGAGTGTTAATTTCATGAAATAACCGATGTTTTTTATGCAAATTTGAATAAATGAAATGTACTGTTTTATAAATATTTTTATTTAAATTTAAGGAGTATAATATTGTCTATTAAACACCGTTTATTTTCTTAGCATTCGCTAGCTTAAGAAAAAGTAAGAATTTACTTTATGAGATTTTGAGGTTTTTTAAGTGACCCGGATTCATTGCTCTCGAGTGTATTCGTTTAGAAATTACCCTTGAAACTAAGTTTAATTGGAATAAAATTTGAAATCTAAGGGTAACATATATGTGAACTCATAGAATCCTGATTGGATTTCTTTCTGTCCATAAAAAAATGAAATAAAACAATTGAAGCAATGAATAATTTCAATACCTTGATGCAACTAATATCCACGAGACAAGAAGTGGTAGTGCGAGGTATAAGAGAGTCTTTTTCCTTCCGAAGTTCTCAGAGATGAGTCCTGTGGGCACGGCGCCCCACACCGCGCCCAGACAGAGTAGAGACGACACCCATGAGGCCTCTAGAGAACTTAGCTGAAAAGCGGAAATAAAATTTGCCAAAGAACTTATATTGAAAAAAACAAAACCACCATATCATAGGTTTTCAATTGAAGTCATACATCTTCAGTCCTAGATCAATTGAGGCAATACAATTGTACAATATATAAACGAATCAAATATACATTTTTGAAGTCGGCGCACACCTTTGAACTATCACACAACGGTTGTGCGATTGTCAAATGTCGATAGTTTCGCAGCCAATTCAACTGTTTAGTTGCACAATTTGAGTAGTGTGCGCACCTCCATATATGTTTATGGGAATCAAAGCGAGACTAAACAGTTCTGCGAGAGTTTAGTCAAAGCTAGCACGCTCATATAACAAAGATAATCTTTTTTGTTTTGTATCATCCTTTTTTTATATTAAACTATTCATAACGCATAAGCATATCACATTTGGCGCTCCAAAAAGTAACTAGTAAATTATCTGTCTGACCTTTGTTATCTGTCCCTTTGTCAGTATGTTATTTCAAAATCAATGTCGGGAACTCGATACTAAACAAAAACAAAACTGTATTATCATCTTTTTTTAAAAAATAGTGTGTGTTTACGCTTTATTATACTACTAGCTGTTCCCGTGCCGCTTCATCCGCGTGGAATAATAAAAACATTATTTTATTGTTTACATTTGTCAAATTCTTAATTGTAAATGTTAAAATACCAATTACTTGCTATGGCAAAATGCTTCCTAGATGTTGGCAGCAACTTATGGTCTCTTTCCCACATTAGGGTTTTTATCCAAAATATTTAGCTCTTAAGTATAATGGCGTGAAAATATATGGCCTAAAGCGTGGCGTAAGTGTAGGGCTTTTTATTAAAAAGGAAATATTAAAAAACATGCTACGATGGGTAACATCTTAGGCAACAAAGAAGTGTGTGTTTACGCTTTATTATACTAGTATAGATATAGAGATACTTTGTTCTTATTTGGATCTCAAATTATTTGTTAAAATTGAATGAAATCATAACGTCATTAATCTAATATTGTTTACTATAGGTTATCTGTTTGACTCTATTTAATGTTTATTTGCTTACCATAAGTTTTGGATGCGGGTCTGTTTGATTTCTTGTCACATCGGATTCCTGATCTGTGTATATCTAGAACAATCGAAACAATTCATTTGAGACATTATAGTTAAAGATCGAAACATTTTCATTGTATTATTGTACTTTACCTTATTATTCATGGATTGTTTGTCTATTTATAAGAGCTCGCGCACACTTTTGACTAAACTATCGCACGACTGTTTAGTCTCGCTTTGATTCCTATGACCTTATATGAAGGTGCACACTACTCGATGTTTACGGCCTATCCCACCACATTGTAAATTGTCTGATAACAATCCAATGTGTAAAATGATGGAAATATCGGATTTTGTTCCCTTATCTGACAGTGACGTCTTTTTTATCTGAACCTCTATCAGCCAGTGGTGGGACAGACTCTTAGTTGTCTAATTAAACAGTTGAATTGAAAAACAATCGAGAATCGCTTCACAGTTGTACGGTTCTCGATTGTTAGTCAAAAGAGTGCACTCCCTCTCATTGTTACTGTTGAAACAAAGTTAGGTATATATTAAAATTTCTATGTCTATGTTTGTCCAGTATAAACTGAAAATTAGTTCATAAAGTTTTACTTGCAAATGCATTTCAATGCTTTTGCCTGCGTTTGCAAACTATTCATAAGTACGTACATTGGGCGTATTGTTCGCCTCCACAATGGCCTTTGTACCAACACCCTCCGTACACAATACAAGAAATGATATTTTCACTAAACAATATTAAAAGCGCTAAAGTTTTAGCGATATGCAGACTTTATATTTCGTGCAACTTTATTTATTTACACTAGCTGTTCCCATGCGGCTTTATACGCATAAAATTATAAAAAACTTTATTTTGTTTTTTACGTTTGTCAAATTCTCAATTGCAATTGTCAAAATAACCGTTACAATAATAACCTTGCTTTCTTAATGTTGGTAGCTTGTAGTTTATGGTCGCTTTTCCACATGAAGGATTTTTCCATTGTTTTTACTCCCTAAGTTTAAAAGCGTGAAAATATATAGCCTAAAGCGTGTCGTAAGTGTATGGCTTTTTTTAAAGAAATAATTATTTAGAAATATGCTGTGATTGCTGACATCCTACGCCGCATTCTCCTATTGCCGCACTCAGCATCATTTAATAAACATTTAAGGCATCCCTTAGTATTCTACACTACAGACTTAATCAGCCGTTTGATTGATTATTATGCCGGGTGCTTGATTATTATGAACATGTTTTTTTTTTATAAATATTTTATCCCCAACGCAAACAAACTCTCGGCCAATATGTAGTCTACTGTGACTCTGAGAATGTTTTATCAACACTAAAGCTTCACTAAGGAGCAAGAAACGTAAGGTTATGTCTGTAGGAGAGAGCGTCGGTGGCTCCGTGGTTTAATCACTTGACTTATAATCTACAGGTCTTGGGTTCGAATACCGCTGTGCCAATGTGATTTTCGAATTGCGAATTTTCATATGTACATAATTTACCCGACGTTCTTACGGCGAAGGAAAACATCGTACACTGAACATATCGGGGAAGAAATTCAAAGATATGTGTGAAGTCAACCAACCCACGGTGCAGCGTGGTTGACTATGGCCAAGTCACTAACTTAGGGTAGGCTCCGAACACCTCAGTGGGGACGTATTTGGATGACGAGGAAAGAGTCTTTCAAAAGATTCGATTTAAATAGTTTGGGATTATAATCGTAATTGCATACATTTTAAAATAATTTGTTAATATCTTTTGTTTAACATATCAAGTAATATTTAGAAGATAAGTCCCAGAGTTAATATATCATATAGAACGTCTTCGGGAGATTCTTAAGCCAATGAAGGTCGTTAATTAACGGAAGGAAACCACATCTATTGTTAGGAAGCTTAATTAAATCAAACGAAGTTCGCAACAACGCAGGCCTCTAGTTAACATTCACAAACTTACTAAGTAATCTGCACCCAGGGAATTCTATACTTTATTACTATTTAGAACTTGTATATACGCAACGTACTCCTTTAGTTTTAGACAAAGATGCATAGAAAAAGGATATATCCCCTCCTCTTCCCATCTATAAAGTCATACTATCTTCTGTCAAGACTACACTAGTAGAATATAAATTGTTTAAGTCAAATTTCTTAGCTAATGCTCCCAAAGCATCAAAGCTGCAGTTCTAACAGATGCATTGTTATTATAAGCGTGGGAGCTTAAACATAGGAGCAAATGCTGAAGCTTCCTAAGCTTAACAAAAATATTATGAATACATTCCTGCATATTGTTACTTACGATGTAGCGGAACATTCTAAGATTAACTCTATTTACTTCATAAACAACCGGTTATAATTAAATTAGCCTTTGCTCCCGACTCCGTTCGCTTGGGAAAACAAAAGCCTATGTGTTCTTCTAGACTATCCTCTACATCTATGCCAAATGTCATCAAGATCCCTTCAGCAGTTTAAGCTACAAACTCTAACAAACATCCATCCATCTAAACTTTCGCATTCATAATATTAGTAAGTAGTAAATATGAGAGAGTTTTATTAAAATAAATCTTGAAAAAATGTTTCAATTTGTTGTCTTGTCCTATTGACGGGTTTTGATGGTCAAAATAAGATAGCTCACCTCATGAGTGGTATTTAACAGAGCTGATGATGACCACGCTATGCACACGCCGGCTGCAAATGCGCCCAGATTTACTGAAAATAATTAAAAATTGATATTGTGTTGTTGAAGTTTATATTTATATTATTACCTAGTGAATTATTAAGTTGACCTAAGTTTAAACTGAGTAAAACTCAAGTTCTTTAGTTCGTAAACGCATCTCTTGAAGTTTGCAAAACAAACAGTAACGAATAGTTAAGTGGACCTCGGAAACTGACTATAAAAAAAATACAATACAATACAATTTTGAATTTACAACTCGGTTCGGTTAGTTTGTTAGTTACTATATTAGTCGCTATATTAGCCGAGCGTAGTTTTGACTATCTACTTTGACTAGATTATCGCACAACTGTTGTACGGTTGTCGATTGTTTCGCAGCCAATTCAACTGTTTACTTGCACATTTCAATAAGCTCATAGGTATCAAGGCGAGACTAAACTGTTGTGCGATATTTTAGTCTAAGGTGTGCGCATGCTCCAAGGCGTGACGTCATACAACCACCGGGATATAGCATACCTATACCAGCTGTGATGTACTGTGTAGTAATCCCGGATGTATCTCTCTTGATATCAGGTACCGTCTCCAATCTCTTGAGCACTTTAGAGTTGCCGTTAACACTATCTGGCACATCTGTATTGGTGTTGTTGTTGTTGCCATTTCTATTCTCTATCAGTGCTGTGGATGCTCCTTCTTCTAGATCGACTTCTGTAAGAGTGCTATCTTCTGTAAAAAAAGAAAATATGGATTTCTGAAAAGTAAATGGAAATCGGAGTAAGTGAACATTTACTGGTGTTTCTGTTACATAATCTTGAGCCAATGATCTGGGGGGAGGTCGATTTAAGGGGAGAGAGAGTCCTTTAATGCTACAAATTGAAGTTTCTCTTTATTGTGTCGAGCTTTTTAGAATTGAATGTGATAAACATTTTTCTTTTAATTCGAAATTATTGATACCTCTGTTTGTATTGAAAAGCTTTTAATCAATTAAAGTAATAAGTTATTTATAAGTGATATAACTCTGTCAGTGTCCTTGGCCTTGTCTCCCCTTTCCCCAGTTTGAAGGTGACGTGGCTATCTCGTGTAAACAACGCCTACAGATTGGCTCGCAATGAAAACATCGACACTTGTTATTAATTAAAGATAAACTGTAATCACTTTAATTTCCTCTCGTTTATATAAACAATGCAAGACTAGTTGTTGCCTGTGACACCTTTTACTTACTATCTATTAGGAAATTATCGATATTCTATTTATAAGCACGATTTGCGTTTGACTAAAGTTGCTTTAGTTTATTTTGGTGGTGTGATTAATTTTATGATGATGTAAGATTTTTTAGTCAAGTTGTCTGCCATTATGTTTTTCTTTAACGTTTTAGTAGGTCGTAATAAAAACAACTATAATAATAAAACGCATTTTATCTTCTAGACTTGCAATAATTTAGTTAAATAGTTTACAAAAAATTGAATAATAAAAAGTATTTCAATGAATTTGACGAGAATCATAAATAACAGCGTTATTTATTTACTGTCATATGACGCTTGACTAAAAATCTAACCACTCTTTCATGTTCCACAATCTTATTAAATGCAACTCTATACATTTAACAAACGAACGCCATTTAAAAACTAAATACACTTTTTTAATTTATCATAAGTTAATTGCGCATATATTTTTATCCGCGGTAATAAACAATTTTCAGCATAAAAACACCACATATTATCACAACTTGACAAGTAAAAATTAATGAATTATGTTGTCAATATAAAAAATTGTTTTTAGGTTTCCGTAACATAGCGACTTTTATTTTGGTAACTTTAGAAGAGACTAGCTGTAGCTCGCGATTTCGTCCGCGTGAAATTAGGAAATAGTAAATAAAAATAGCCTATGTTATTCACAGATAAATTAACTTTCTAACGGTGATAGAAAATTGAAAATCGACACAGTAGTTTTCGGGTTGTTTTAATACATAAAAAAATACAAATCTTTCCTCTTTATAATATTAGTATAGATAAACTTATGATGTCAAGTTTGAAATAGCAAGTGTACAAAATAATTAAGTTAATTTATAAATTAAGAAATACCTGTATCCATGTTGTAGCTTCAATCAGGTGTGACAATTAACAGTTTCCACTTGTTTATGAATGAAACATTGTACGAGAGCAACTCGTCCGCTGAATCTCTGTGACTGTGGCCGTCATCTCGATATTACCCGGGACGCAGAAAAATAAAATTCCAGGGGAAATTAATCGTAGGTCGAACCTGAGATATCGAATTAACGGCTTTTTTGGAATGGCTTTATAGGTTTGTTTAATTATACTGTGATGAGAAAAATAATATATGTTTATTAATAAGTTCAATGTTTGGATATTTTATGTATAATTCTAATTGACTATTATTTTTTGATATATCCCAATTAAAATACTGACTACTGGTACATTTAGATTAAAGGATTATAACGATAAACAAAGCCAATGTAAGCTTAACATAATTGAAGCGTAATCAAAGCAATTACCAATAACAATATTGATATTCAAATGAAGGTACATTCGAGTAAATATTCAAATTAGTGCGAAACTGGCTCCGTTCGGAAATAATTAGCTATGTTAATCCGATGTCTGGGAAGCCCACAACGACAGCAACGCTCTGATCAATACATTGTCAGCTTAACGGCTTTGAATTGTTACGAATTTCGTGTACATGTTGTAAATTACATATGTGGCTTTCACGGCACGCTTAAGCCTTGATTTAACCAATATAATTATTTTTGGAAACCACACTCTATTATAATATAATTATTTATTTATTTGGAGTTGCGATTCTTGTGCTTGTTAAATAATTAAAAGCGAATTGTGCACCCCTGGCGCGATAACCTCTCAATCATGCCACCCTCTGACGATCTCTCTGACACCAGATAACGCGCTGCGCTGCACTAACTACTATATTTTTACAATCAATGTCTGCTAGATAAGTTTGTTTGTCTGCCTCTATACAATATCAATAGCTTATTTACTTGCAATTAACATAATTAATATATATATGTAATTCATTTATTAGCTTATATATTATATAGGACAAGTAAAAATAAATATCAAGTAACATTCGAAACTTTTAAGGGAAATTTCTTCATCTCTACTGATCAAACAAACCAATAGGTTATCGTAATTTTTAATAATAAATGTTTTATATGCAAAATTTTAATTAATATTGCAAATGATAATTATAGTGTAAATAATATAGACTTATCACCTGCCAGAAAGTTCGAGTTTCATCCAGTGAATTCCAGTAATACTGACCAGATTAGGACCTAATTTATTTACTTACTATAGAGACACCTAGTATAGCTATAAAATATTATTGTTCTAATTCATCGCCTACATAAAAGAATAACAAAAGCTCTTGTATTTTAAAAACATAACAGAAAAAATATTTATAATTCTCTAGCAAAATAAAATTAACAAAAAATCTCAACCCTTAGATATCGTAGCTATAAAAACAGAAGCTCATCACAAGCGACTGGGCACTGTTAGAGATAAACGCCTTTCGGGTTTGTCCACAAGATAAAAGCTTCAAAGTCCTGACACCATACAAAGCGATAACGCAGTTTACCGCTTAGGGCCGACATACAGGGACAGTATAGTAAATTTACTGGAAGCAGAACACTCACTGGTTTAAGCTGTCGTTGTAGACTTTAGCTGTATGCGTATGGAATCCCTAATCGAGGTTTTTTACTGTAATTTAATTACGTTGTAATGTGTGTACTGCATCACTTGTTTCGTGACTTGTTACACTGTTCTGTTTAATTCAGCAGATACGAATATAAATATCTCCATTACTTTACTTCCAAATCAAATATTAGCAATGAATGTTTGTTAACAAGTAGGACAACCTATGGCAGTATGTGAAGCTATTAGAGTACTGTCTGAGTACTGTACTCTACTCAGTACATTTTGTGTCTGCTTTTAGTAGATAACTAAATTTAACATGCAAAGCAAAAATTACTTTTTAGATAAACGTTCTTGAGGAGATTTATTAAACTCATAAGCCTTTTCTATACTAGCCTTATAATTAAATTGATTTTTTATTAACTCGGCTAAAGACATTATGAATAAAATATTACAAAAAAAACATACAGACAAATTGAGTACCTCCTTCTTTTGAGAAGTCTAAACTAAATTAAATCTTAAAGTTCCAATAAAATAAAAGTAAAAGTCACTTTTTAAATATTTGTTTTTAAATCACAAAATGGCGCGAACGCGCGGATGACGTCACGCATGCGAGATGCGTCGCCCGTACTCCGCCGCTCGCCCCCTTCTTGACCCCTCCGCGGCCGCTTCGCCTCGCGACTGCCCGGGACGCTAATGTTTTGGCGCGCAAAAGTGTTACTATGCTTCTGACTTCTATTGCGTTTGATAAAATCCAAATCTACTTGAATGCAATTTGTTACCTTACTCTGATATAATTCGTATGATGCTGCTCTTGTATGATGGTACTATTTGATAAATATTGCTGCTATTTAAATTCATAAACAAACACACACGCACACACACACACACTATAAAAGAACATTTGTAGAATTATATTGTCATAATAAAAATGTTGTTACATTCCTTTCTTCGCTGCATCGCTGACGTGCTCTCTTTCGCGCCTAAAATCCTCGTTGCTTTTTTTTAAATTAAAATTATGTTTATTGTTTCTTTAGAGGCCAGTATGATATCAAATATTCCTCCAAATTATTTTTGCAGCTTGAACAAATATATTTTTACAATTAACTACCTTTGAAAACGCATTACTATTTAATACAAATATGATTTTATTTTTAAATGAAAGAAAATATATTTACATTTGTTGTCAGCGCCATCTATTATCAATTTTTGTTTAACCAACAAATCGTACATCTAACTTCTTACTAATATTGTAAATGCAAAAGTTTAGATGGATGGATATTTATTAATTTTTTTTTAGCCGAAACTGCTCATCTGATCTCGATGAAATTTGGCACAGATGTAGAACATACTCAGGACGGAAATATAGGCTACTTACTTTCATTTTTTTTAATTCCACGCAGACGGAGTCACGAGCAAAAGTTAGTTGAATGTTCAATATCAAAGTCTAGAAGGCGTCTAGCATATTTGGGTTAAGTCGTACCTCTGACCCTGTGGCACGTCTGGTCGCATATCTGCTACGTTTCCGTTACTTTATTGACTGAGATAAGGGCGCAAATTGCCCAACGCTGCTATAAATACTCTAATTAGCGTTGATAATTGTAATCGATGTACGTGACTTCGTGGTTTGAAGTTAAAAATATTTATATCTAATTGTAGAGTTAATCAAGGATTATTCTTTTTGTTATGAATTAAAAATTACGATATCTTATACAATTTAATTATTCTCTTTTAAGTATTCTTCCTGAATGTCTAATTAAGCTATTTTAAAATACAGAAAATGTGTCCAAAATCTGTAAAAACACTTCTAACGGATTATTGCCAGCAAAAATTTAAATCATTCACTTACCATATTTAGATTTCTGTGGACCACTAATTCCACTAACCATTGTTTTATGCAAAAGTAAGGTTATGTATGCATATGTAAGTATCTAAGTAGACTTTGATCAGTTCTTCATTTCCTTCATTCATGTAAGTTATCAGTTACATTATAACATTTCTATGATATAATAAATCATGTTTACTGTTTATTCAAAACAACTATCAACTTGTTTTCTTCATACTAATATGAATAAAATAACTCTACGAATAATATAAACTAGAATAAAAAATTGGATGGATATTTGTTAGAGTTTATAGCCTAAACGGCTGACAGGATTTCGATGAAATTCGGTATAGATGTAGAGGATAGTCTTGAAGAACACATAGGCTAAACACTTTTGTTTTTTAATTCCATGCGGACGGAGTCGCGGGCGAAAGCTAGTCTATTAATTATTCGTATAAAACAAAACTTAATACGAATCAACAAAAGTAAGTTATATTACTATTTATAGAATAATCAAAATATAAACATAACTGTAAAGCCAAAACAATTTTTAGTAAATACAGTTTTCAATGTGATAAAATTCAAGATGGCCTTTACCTAAAGGTATTAAGATATAATAAAATGATTTATTATCTGATTGTTTAACATTTTTGCACATACCAACTATGCTGCTCTTCATTTAGTAACTATAAATCCAACGTTTTTGATAATAAACTAGCTTTTGCCCGCGACTCTGTTCGCGTTGAAATAAAACAAACGAAAGTACCCTAGGTGTTCTTCTAGATTATCCACAAAGATAAACATCGCTATCCGTTCAGCAGTTTAGACTATAAACTCCAACAAACATACATCCATCTTAACTTTCGCTATAATTATTGATCGAAGAGCAATTGGAAATAGATAAAGTTGCGCCACATCAAGGTCGATGTAACATCGTTAGACTAAACATCCGCGGACAAACAGACGCGTTAATTGGACAGATATTTACCATAGTAGCGACCTCTATGTCTCTCTTTTAAATATCATCCTTCTTATCATTCTCCCGTAGGGTTTTTGTCCTCCAAATTAACTTTATCATACGTCATCTCAGTCATCACTCCCTTTTTGATTATGTCACCTTTCACACAATACATCTCTTTCTATGTTCGTTCTAGTTCGTTCGTTCTCCGTGTATCATGCCCCCATGCTAACCTTTTACTCCTTACCTTCTCTACCGCTCGGGCTACTCTCAAACTTCCTCTAATATACTCATTTGTTTTCAATAATATTCCATTACGAGCTGTTGCCCGCGACTTCGTCTGCGAGGTATTAGAACCATATGAACTATATAAATAACAAAAAGTTACGCATCCCTCGGGAACCGGACACCTCGGGGATGAAGCTTATCCCATGTGTACTCCAGACTTTGTTTTACATCTGTGCCAAATTTCAATAAGATATGTTTAACCGTCGCAGAATGATCGAGTAAACTTTAAAAAACTAAATTAATGAATCCCACGGGAACCGTAACTTATCCCGAGATAGCCTGTGCTCTAAACCTGTGCCAAATTTCATGGAGATCCGTTCAGCCGTTTAGGCTAAAACGCAAACAAACATCCATCCATCCATCCATCCATCCATCTAAACTTTCGCATTTATAATATTAGTAAGATTAGTAAGAATAATTTACATTAATTTATGAAACAAAAATCTTCTGGAAGATTATATAACTCGTATCTTAC